GACAGAGAGAGAGAGACATAGAGACAGAAAGCGAGAAATCACCCCCCAGGGGTGATGGTCACGCCGCAATCCTTTCTCCTCCATTCTCCTCTCAGGATCTTGGGCACGCACGCACACGTGCCCCGCGTGAGTTCTAAGCCACCGGGTCTGGGACTCGAACCGCGGTCGACTACGTGGGAGTCCAGCGACATAGCCATCACGCTAACTGCTGGTTCCCAGTTCTTTTTCTTCTTTTAAAATGAAGAAAACTTAAAACTTAACTTTCAAAATAGGAAGTATAACATGATTTTATTGTAGGCCATTCCCATAGTAGTTAAGGAAGCTGGATCCCACAAGGCCAACCACAGTTCAAATCCCAACTCTGGTGGTTTAAAAAGCACACTGGGCACATTTATGTGTGTGCTCCAATTCCCGACAAAATGGAGAAATGGAGAAGGGATTGTGAGTGACCATGGTCTACTGAGAAGTAGAATGTCCTTCTTTCTCTCTCTCTCTGGCATGTATGCACACATTCTAAAGACAAACATATATACATATATGTGTGTGTATGTATATATATACATATGTATATATGTGTATGTGTATATATATATATATATGTATAAAAGAATGTCTCTCTCTCTTGCTTGTTCTCATTCCCTCTCTTGCTCACTCATTTTACATTGTCTCTTCCTTTCTTTCCATAGATCCATTCTCCTATCTGCCTTTTGTCTCCACATAGAGGACAAGAATAATAGTCATTGATGATCATTTTGACTATTTCTAGGCAGTGACATTGCAGATGATTATATGGTTTCTATGTTGCTGATTTATTTTTAATGAGTGGGTAAATTTTTATATTAATGAAAACAAAGAGCTCATTTCAAAGAAAATAAATATACCTTCTTAATACTTTTAAAGAAAATAGCTGCTTGGTAGAAGGTATATCTTTTGTCATTTTAAAGAAAATCCAAAACAAACTTACATGCCTAAATACAAATGCCTAAAGTAACAAATTACAAATGCCTGACATTACAAATGCCTAAAGTAAGTGTTTAATGATAACAGAGAAATAATTATGTAGTGAGTTGAGTACGTGCAATAGCACTCAATGAGTCTTTACCTTTTTTTTAAAGAATTGTTTTATTTATTTATTTATTTATTTATTTAAATTTGACCAGAGAGGGAAGAATGAGAGAGAGAAAAAAGGAAAGTGAGAAAGCAAGCTGCCAGGTCCGTAACTCCAACCACAGACAGCCATGTGGGAATACATTGCCCTTAACCTCCACAGCATCTGCCAACCCTGAGTAACATTTTGAAGCCTCATGTGAGACCCTTCTCATCCCCCCCAATGAACCCAAAGATCAGGGTATTTCTTTCTTATTTCAGGTTTTGGGGAAAGGCATTTCAGCCATGCTGATGATCTTCTCCCTCTTGGAGTTCTTCATAGCTTATGCCACATGGATTTTTGTCATTGGGGTGAGTTCAGCCTCTTTCTTATCAAATCATTTGAGTATGTGCTGTAGAAATACAGACTTACATGTCTGCTAGGCTGACTGGAGCCCACTTTAACCCTGACTCTGATGGGGAAGAGGAGACTGAATCGGACTGCAATAACATTAGTGCTTGTTTTCACTCATTCTTTCCAGAGTAACCAAGATTAATCCAGCTGTGTAAACAAACAGCTCCGTGGCACCAGACTATTCCTCAGCTCCATCCAGAAATAATGGTCTCCTGACTCGTACCCCGACAAATGAAAAGAAAAAGCGGTATTAGTCCAATTTCACAGGGTAAAACTATTCTACAGAAACTACATATGAAGCTGACTTTTACAGGCCACAATGATCACTGATCTTTAAGACTGTTTGAGAACTCTGAAAACAATTCATCACTAATGGTAACCGTATCTCTCTGTCACTGTTTCTTCCTGCGTACCACCATTACACACTGGCAAAAGTGAATGGCCAGAGGAGTGAAAATGGCTCTCCAACTCTCTTAAAGTGACAAATTATCTTGTGCATATTACCTTTTCCTCAATAAAATATCATTAAAAATAAAAGCTTTTTTGGTATTTCTTTAACATTCTTATTGGTTTAATATTGGTTATAGAGCAGGAGGTCAGAGGAAACACTGCACATCAGACTGATATCGTGCCTCGATGGTAATGTGCAATGTCTGTTGACTCCATTGTGTTGCTCTAACACAATGAAAGGAAGGCAGACATGCAAACATGTGCCTGAGAGACCTGTGGACAGCCATCTTGCTTTTACAACAACCACTCTTGGGAAAACTAACTAATGAAAACCTTTTCCCTCCCAGGAGCTGGCTTTGATTACTCCTGAGGGATCCATGTCCCAAGTACTTCTCACTTGGCCCTGCCCCACTGGGTATCCTTACATCATGAGGTTTCAGATGATGTGATATTCGAACCATAGCACTGTCCAAGTCACTGGAGTTCCTTTGCTTATTCTCTCCTCCCCTTTCTGTTCAGAAAGCAAATGCCTAACTGCCCTTTTTGAGGGTCTCATTATTTTGTACACTGATGCCATCAAGCACCTTGCCTTTTTGATATCTAAAAGGCTTTGCTATTTACAGAGCATTTTCATATACTTTAAACTCATTTGCAATGAGCCAAATGCAGGATGAAGATGGTGCATTGTGGGTTTTTCACTTTGATTTCAGATTTTTATTTTCAGATGGGAGAAATGTGGACTTTTTTTTAGGTTATAAAAGCCCTTTTATAAAGCCATTTTTAAACAAAACAAAACAGTTTACAAAAGAAAAAAAGACACAGAAAAAGAAAAACGTGCTTCATATGTCCCCAAAAAAGAAAAAATAAAGGGGACAATGCCAACCTGCTCAACAATAAAGGGTTCTTTTTCTTATTTAATTCAAAATACAAGCAAAGGATATACATACTTAAAACAGAGCTCAGGAGCAGACATGCAGTTCTGGGAACTTTTCAATAAAAGCAAAGCAGGAGTTTGTTTTTTTTTTTTTTTGTCTATGTAGATACAGAGACAGGGATATGTAAAAATTAAGTATTACAAAAGACCATCACACAGTTCTACCAATGCATGTTGCATCTATAATTCACGAACATGGTCAACAAAATCATGTTCACTTCAACCTCGTTTTATTTAAATTAAAGAAAAAACTTTTAAACAAAGCAGTTACATTCAAACTTTCACTTCCTTAATACCATGCTGGGACCTCAGCACTGTTAAGATATTACAAAAATGCCCAACCCTCTGGAGTCTGATCATGAATCTAACTACTTTGCAAGTAAGAAGAAAGGGAAGCCCCAGTCTCAATTCATGGACTACTTAATACATTTACAGTGGTTCCTCTCTTGTGACCTTCCTGCTCAGAACGTAGATTAAAGAATAAAATCAAGGAAGACTGGGAGTTTTCGAGTTGGCAAAGTCTCAAAGATGAATCCAGGCAAACAATTACTGAGAGCTTGGCTGCTGCTTAACCTGACAAGTCTTAAGTCTTTCCTTAAATTGCACAGGAATTAGGTGTATAAGGTTTGTTGCAACACATTCATGGTAAACAAACTAAGTAGAGCTCTTATTTACAAATCTTGTAACAAATACTTCTGGAGGAAAAGAAAAGAATTGACTAATTTCCAGAAGACAAAAGGTTTAATTGCCAGACATATACAAACACACATTCACACCCACACACACACCCCCACACACACCCACACACACCCACACAATACTTCAGGGGTTTTTATACATGTTATTTTTAGGGCATAAGCTGAGTGGTATACTATCACACCCCATCAAAAAGAAACAACAAAAAAAAATCCCGATTTTACCCTCCTCCCCATAATCTAAAAAAATCCTCCCTTCACTCCTGATGTACAAAGTGTATGCACAACTGTGGCATCTGACAAGCCACACAAAGCACGCTCAAACAGATGTCACCAGTTCAGTCCCTCTATAGGCATAGCAACAGGCAGTTACAAGATTTTTTAAAAGCTAGTGGGGATGCAAAAAAAAAAAGAAAGAAAGAAAAAAAGAAAGAAAGAAAGAAGAAAAAAGGGACCAGCAGTTAGCGTAATGGCTATGTCACTGGACTCCCACGTAGTTGACCGTGGTTCGCGTCCCGGACCCAGTAGCTTAAAACTCATGCCGGGTGCATGTGCGTGCATGTCCAAGATCCCGAGAGGAGAACGGAGAAGAAGGGATTGCGGCGTGGCCATCACCCCTGGGGGGTGATTTCTCACTTTCTGTCTCTCTGTCTCTCTCTGGCGAACCCCCCCTATGGAAAAAACCACAAAAAAAAAAAAAAAAAAAAAAGCTAGTGGGGAGGGACCAGCAGTTACCGTAATGGCTATGTCGTCAGACTCCCATGTAGTCTACTGCAATTCGAGTCCTGGACCTAGTGGCTTAAAACTCATGCTGGGCACGTGTGTGCATGCCCAAGATCCTGAGAGGAGAATGGAGAAGAAGGGATTGTGGCGTGGCCATCTCCCCTAGGGGGTGATTCCTCTGTCTCTCTGTCTCTCTGTCTGGTGAGTGCACACATCCTATAGCAAAAACTTCTCCAAAAAAAAAAAAAGAAAGAAAGCTAATGGGGATAATTCAAGTAAGAAAGAAAGAAAGGATGAATGGCATCCTAAGCATACAAAGATCAAAAACTATAGATGGAGAACTCTCAAAGCCATCCTAAGCAAACAGAGATCAAACTATAGATGGAGAACTCCCTAAGGGCAGGTTCTCTACATAGCAGAAGAAAGGGAGATGTAATTGTTGCAAATATTCATTAATTTGTGGTAATGGTAGTGAATATACAGGGAAGCTCCAAGATGATGACTGTCATCCCTGTCATGGTAGAGGTGAGATTACGTCCAAGGTGGGGGGCATAGTAGAGTCACAATATTGAACAAAATAAGTAATGTGAGCAAATCTTGAACATGGTAAAGAAACTGGAAAGAGAAACAGAAGAGACTTTCTAGCCTGTACTAAGGGCATGTTTGAGGAGATGATCACAAATTTACAATACAAACAAATTGCTTCAGAGAGGTGTGGCTACTCAGATATGGACCCAGAAACAGCACTTATTTCATTTCATTTGGGATTAGGCTTTTTTTGGTGGGGAGGAGGATGATAAAAATAGCAAGGGACAAGAAAGCTTAGGACATTGTCAAAGTATTATCAAAATAATGGACTGTGGATTCTAAATTGGATAAGGAAAGAATAAAAAAAGATGGATTGATTAAAGAAAAATCAAGATCTGCCTTTCTCTAGTGGAATTGTTGTGAAGGGTAAATGAGATGATGTTATATTAAAATGGATTGAAAATAGCAAAGTAGTACTCCATATTGTTGAACCTTTAAAATTATTATTTTTTCTTTCTGTTTTTGGAGAGGTTTTTGCTATAGGGGATGTTTTGATCCCCTGCATTATAGTCTTCACCTCTAGAAGTTCTGTTTGATTCACCTTTATGTTATTTATCTTCTCCTTCAAGTCATAAAAGGACTTTCTCATCTCCTGGAGTTCAATGTCTCTTTATCCTTGCATATCATAGAGTTTTTTCACCATGAATATTCTGAATTATTTTCCTGACATTTCAGTAAATTCTTTTTTTGTGTGTGTTGTTGGAGATGACTTACTGTTATCCCTTGTTTGAGATGTACCTACTGGTTTTCTCATATTGGAGGCTCTTCACCAATTTTTAGTCATTTGTTATGTGTTCATTTTAGGTAACTCTTTAGAGAAGGTTTCTGCACCTGTGAGTTCATTTTCTCTTTTTGACTGTGAATTAATTCTTTGCCAATATCTATCTTTGACTGTGGTTTGCAATGTGGTACACACAGAAGGAATTTTGAGTTCAAATTTAAGAAGAGGAATTTTTCCCTTTTTGCTGGTGTTTCAGTCAGGGGTTCAAAATTCCTCTGAGCCTTACAATGTTTAGATGTTTGGCTTCTATAAATCTAGACCTGTCTAATCCCTCTGAGGTGGAGGCCAAGCAGCAAATTGAGAATGTATGGCAGAAAAGAGAGAAAAAAAAAATTCATATGCCATGAATAGCATGCAAATTCAGCAGGGGACTTTAAATGGAGATGTTTGCTTAAGAGGCCTGCAATTCCCCTGTCCTATGTGGGGGAAGAAGTGTAAAAAATTAGCAAAAGTAGAAAAAAGTTCCTTTCTAGCTCTGAAACTGGGAGGAGAGCTTGGAAGTCTGGGGCTGTGTCTAGGGCTGAAAATAGCCCTGACCCAGGACCCTGGCTGAGCAGGGGGCTTCAGATGGATATGTCAGCTTAAGAGGTCTACAATTCCCCTGTCTTTTCTATTTCTGAAATGGGGAAGTGAGTTTGAAAGTCTCAACAGTATTTTTTTTTCTTTTTTTTATAGACCACAGATTAGTTTATTTTTAACACCAATCATGCAATGAATTCATAGGGAATAGGTTCCAGTAGCTCAGGCTCCTTTCCATTGGTTCTCACAAAGTGTGCTTCTCTGGGTGGGGCAGGCTGGCACTTTAGTTGAACCCAGGTACCTTTCTATTTGGCTTCTTTCTTTTTCTGGTCATTTTCCTTCACACATTTTAGGAAGCTATCTCTGCTCTTAGAATGCTTAATATGCTCAATATGCACATTGATTCTCTTGGCAAGAATCTTGCCCTTGTTTGTTCACGACAATGCCAACAGCATGCGGGGTAACATTGTAGACTCTTCCAGTTTTGCCATGGTAACATGTGTGGGGCATTCCTTTTTGAACAGTACCCATTCCCTTAATGTCTACAATATCACCTTTCTTGTAGATTCACATATATGTTGCCAAAGGAACAACTCCATGTTTTCTAAAAGACCTAGAGAACATGTATCGGGAGCCTCTACTATTTCCCTTTGTGTTTGTCATTTTGGTTAATTACTGGAAGATGGTGATTCCTCAACAGTATTCTTAATGCAATTCCATGACAGTCACAAAGCAGAACTCGTTCTCAAGGAAGTTTAGAGGAAATAAAGGTGGGGGCACAAATTCTGGAACCAGATTTAGATGGCTAGAGTTAGAATCTCAACTCAAATTTTTA